CTGGAGGCTTTTTTGCCTGGGGCGGCAAAAAAGCCAGAGCCGGCCCTGTGGGTAGCACACCAGCCTAGCCCAGATAAGGTTCCTGCAGCTATGACATCAGAAAGGTTCATGGGTGAGCACCACAGAACCTGTGAGGACCCAGATGACTAATGCAACCCTGTCTCAGACTAAGGTGCCTGAAGTAACCCCAGCAGAAATCCTTTTGAGGCCAGAGAGCACCTCCACTCGACATAGCCAGAAGAGATCTCACAAAGCCCCTAGATCAGCAAGGTGGCACTGTGTGGTTATGGATTATAAATAGCTAGGTAATAAGACAACACCCACCTACCCCAGTGGGGTTGGGGCACCCCAAAGTTGGTTAAATGGATCCTGAAACACCCCTGCGCACTTGTCTCTGATTGGGCCTAAACACATTGGTTCCCTTCCGCAACCTCTGAAGAAGCAGGAACTAACCCCAGAAACAAGCACTGCACTCAGCAATGAAACAACAAGCCCTCCAACAGCACCTGAGACGATTTGGGGGGTTTTCTGGAGGGCACGCACACAACTCCCCCAATCCCTGCAATAGTACAACCAGGAGCTAGGCAGAAGCCTCAGGGCAAGCATGATCTTTCTAGCCCCACCCTGTGGCAGACAATCAGCCCAGAGCCCGTCTGATGTCCTGCAGCCAATGCCCAGCCAATGCCCTGCCCCTGCACTGGAGGGGCATTCCTCCCCTCCAGTGGGGCAGCTGGTGGGCAGCAGGCAATCGGAGTGGGATTTCCTCCCCATCCTCCAGGGCTAGCTCCCTTTTCAGCCTACCTGCTCCAGGGGACAGAGCTGACCCTTCCATGCTGCACCAGCACTAGGTCATCAGAAAGGTGTCCTGGGTCAGTACAGGGCCCACCTAGGTTACGGCACCCAAGACTCACTGCCTCTGTGCCCAGCTCCCTACACATCTCCCTCCTTCCATCCCCCACAGAGCTGCTCTTGTCAGCACAAGAGCATTGTACCAGTGTCCCATATCCAGGTATGGTGGTGCTTTCACCCTGGGCTAGCTGACTTGGCTGGGCTATAGACTAAAGCCTGAGTGAGGCTTTCACTTGGGCTGGTCACCCACCCATTTTGCAGTGAGGATGCAGGCTAAACCACTCCAGTCATGGATGGCAGGTATAATAGGCCAGGGAAGGCTAAGCCTTCCCTGGCACAGCTGCTGCCGACCTGCTGCTGGACACCTGGGCCATGGTGGCCTTGCCCCTTCCCCATTGTCCTCACTGCCTCCTGCTGCTGCCTGACGGTTAGTCCTCCACTACACCACCACCCTCCCTCTGAAAGTCCCCACTGCTCGCCGCGTCCCTCTTCCTCTTGGGTGGGGGAATGAGGAGGGACACGGCAAGTCAGTGGCGGGTGAGGGCATCTGATTGGGGAGTGAGGCGGCTCGAACAGTCACTTGGGCCAGCCCGGTGCTGGAAGGGGGTAATTCAGTGGGGAGGACCGGTGGCTCGGCCTGGTGCTCAGGGGGCCAGCGGCTCGGCCAGGAGAGCTTTCAGAAGAAGGGGGTCCGGCAGCTCGGCCTGGTGCTCGGCCCGGCCCAGACCAATGGCCCCGGTGCTCAGTACTGATAGTCCTTCAATGCCTTCTCACAATTCTCCCAGTGTGCTCAGAAGGACAGGCAATTTCTCCCACAATTCACTGGGATAGAATCATAGAGCAGCTCATCTTCCTGCAGCACAAAGAACCAAGTGCTGTGTCCCGGCCCCAGCAATTCTAACTACACACGCAGGGAGTGCAGCACAAGTGAGGATGCAGTGCAGTAGCTTGGGTATGGCTTGGCATACCCGGGTTGCTCACACGGGTGGCGAGATCCAGATGCCAATCACTTAAGTCTGCAGTGAAAACACACCTACGCTGGCTGAGATTCCCAAGGCCACCTAGGGGATCTGGATCCCCAGTTTCCATTTGATTGTAATGGGAATTTATCATCCAAATCCTTAGGTAGCTTTGAAAATCTCAGCCACTATATTTTGCAATTTAACATTCTAAAGCCCAAATTCCATGATTGATAACTGTACATTCCTCTCTGCCCAGCCTACACTCATGACTCGCTCTAACAAACTTAACTTGCTCCATAGCCTGAAGGAACAGACTTTTCAAAATGCCTTATTTAACATGCTGCACAACATGCACATAGTGACTTCCCTTGAGGTGAACATCAAGATGTATCGATCCTCAAGATAAACATTGGTGGCAGTGAAAGAAAAATAAATCTCACTTTCACTGACAGAGTCAATATATGTATTGTTACATATACTCCATTGCACCAGTCAATCGGGCACAATCATTTAGCTTGATTTAATTTCATAGGGTGATTTAAGGATGTATTGTGGAGAATGCAGGATTGAAATATGCTGATGGCAATTATTGACCTGCAGCTGGGTTTTACAGAAGATAATAAAGTGTATGGAATAATAAATGCAATGTTTTCACAAGTAACTATTGATTGAGTTTCTAAATATATCCATTAGTTTCATAATTTAAATGTGTGTGAAAGGTGGACTACAAAAGATGTTTTTTAAATAACCTGCCAAACTCTTCTGTAAAATTACGGAAGGCAGGGGCGGCTCCAGGCACCAGCGCAGCAAGCGCGTGCCTGGGGTGGCAAGCTGCGGGGGGCGGCCTGCCGGTCGCTGAGAGGGCGGCAGGCAGGCGGCCTTCGGCGGCATGCCTGCGGGAGGTCCGCCGGTCCCACAGCTTCGGTGGCAATTCGGTGGCGGGTACGCTAAAGGCGCGGGACCGGTGGACCTCCCGCAGGCATGCCACCAAATCCACGTGACCAGTGGACCACCCACAGGCGCACCGCCAAAAGTAGCCTGCCTGCCGTGCTTGGGGCGGCAAAATACATAGAGCCGCCCCTGACGGAAGGGAAAAACATATAGTTTGGCGCTGATTGGAAAACAGAACTTCTGTCCCACTGAAAATTCTGTCTGTCACAGTCTGATCCAGTCCCCCTCTCTGGACAGACACCAGTCTGTTGTGAGTGAACCCCAATGGCTGGATTCTATGTGCTCTTAAACTAACTGGGTCTGGGCAGAACAGGGTCATTATTTCTAGCTCTGAGTCTCTCAGGCACACTCCTGCGTGCAGACCCTGTGTTACCACCCTTTGTTGGGTTGCAGACTCTGCTGCCCAGCTGCCTTAGACCCCCACCTCTGTAGGTCACCTTGAAAATGAATTGTACAAAAATAGAGTAAAAATGTTTGCAATATTGAATAATATGAGGGTCAAATTCCAAGAATTCTCCTTCTAGTCCCTAAACTGGGGGTGGGTAAACTACGGCCCACGGGCAGGATCCAGCCCGCGAATCATTTTAAGCCGGCCCGTGAGCTCCTGCTGGGGAGCAGGGTCTGGAGCTTGCCCCGCTCCAGCGTTCCAGGTGGGGCACTGGGTCGGGGGCTGCACCACGCGTCTCCCGGAAGCCGCAGCATGGGCCCACTCCGGCTCCTACGTGCTTATATGGGAGCTGCTGGGGTGGTGCCTGCGGATGGGGCAGCATGCAGAACCGCCTGTCCGTGCCTCCGTGTAGAAGCCGGAGAAGGGACATGCCACTGCTTCTAGGAGATTCTTGAGGAAAGCGCCGCTCTGAGCCTGCACCCCTGAGCCTCTCCCCATGCCCCAACCCCCTGCCCCTGCTCTCCAAACCCCTCGATCCCAGCCTGGAGCACCCTCCTGCACCCCAAACCTCTCATCCCCAGCCCCAGCCCAGAGCCTGCACCCCCAGCCAGAACCTGCACCCCTGCCCCAGCCCTGATTCCCCTCCCGCTCTCGGTCCCAGCCCAGAGCACCCTTCTACACCCCAAACTCCTCATCCCCAGCTCCACCCCAGAGCCCGCACCCCCAACCAGACCCCTCACCCCCTCCCATACCCCAACCCCAATTTTGTGAGCATTCATGGCCCGCCATACAATTTCTATTCCCCGATGTGGCCCTCAGGCCAAAAAGTTTGCCCACCCCTGCCTAAACCATGTGCACATGTACCTCTGAAAAACTGTCCCTTCATGCTAATTGTTCCTAGGGTCCTACTGCCCCTTCTCAAACTCTAAACTCATGGAAGACACAGTCTACAACCGATGAACTCACTCCCTGTTCTCCAGCTCTGCCTTGGATCCCTTCCAATCTGCCTCCTGATATCTCCACTTTACAGAAATTACTCTCAGTAGGGTCTCTAATGACCTCTTTCTGGCCAAACCTCAGGCCCTCTACTCTGTTTTCACCCTCCCCATCTCTCTGCTGCTTTTGACATTGTCGTTTATTCCCTCCTTGGCATCCTACCCTCACTGGGCTTTCAAGATACTATCTTCTCCACCTACCTCTTTGACTTCTCTTTCAGCATCTTTTCAGCCTCCTACATGCTGCCCTAATACAATTTGGTCATGTAACTAAGCAGTACAGTTGTTCCAAATAAAAGTGTGGAATGAGGCCACGCAGTGTATGAGGGAAGATAGTCCCTGAGGGAGTCTGTCTGAGGAAGTGGTCAACAATAGGAACAAGTTTGAGAACCACAATATTGAATCATCCAGCCTGCAGGAACTGATGGGGCCATCTGACTGCAACCTGGGCTGTTACTGCAACCTCATCTCTGGGCTCACTGACACTCACTTAGCTCCCTTCAGGCTGTACAAAATGTAGCTGCCAAAATGATCTTCCTAACATGTCACCCTCCTCTTTGGATCTCACCACTTGTTCCCGCCTTTTCCACTACATCAAAATCAAGCTAATTGCGACTTGCTCATCTCTACTTATGGGACCTTGTTTCTTATTGTGATGCTCCCCACCTCCTCCACTCTCAGTGATGCCAGTTTTGTTGCCCCATTTAATTGAATCTCCCACAACTTTCTCTGCATTTTCTTCCATGCTGTCCCTACACACTGAATGCCCTTCTCAAGCTGATACACTATGACACTATCCTCTCACAAGCAGCCACATGTCCGGGTTTAAGCCAGTCAGTCCTGTTTTTGCCCCTTTCCAGCACTGATATAAAACTGGACGTGGTTTTGTCCAGTATCATGCACAGGGAACGCCATTTTGCAGATCACACTGCTCTGCGCCCATCAGCATGCCGCGTGCTAGGTCACACAGGTGGGGGCAGGACATTCTGCAAAATGGTGTCCTCCGTGCAGCATGACCTCGCACTAGGGTGACCAGACAGCAAATGTGAAAAATCGAGACGGGGGTAGGGGGTAATAGGAGCCTATATAAGAAAAAGACCCAAAAATCGGGACTGTCCCTATAAAATCGGGACATCTGGTCACCCTACCTCACATGCACCATGCATGAGAGGTCACACTGGTGGGGGTGGGGGGTCAAGCAGGTGGCAGCAGGGACAGCCAAGGGGATGTCCTGTATTCTGGGGAGGCACAAGTGGCCACTTTACCCTCTCATCATTTAGATCCTTCAAGATCCACTTTTGCCATGTAGACTGCAAGAGGAAGAGAGTTTATGCACCTCCCCACCCCAAAAGCAAATGGATCTACTAATATGTGCCAGCCACTGCCCTGCCCACTGCCCTTGTCACCTGTAACTCCATCCCGCGCCCTCCTCCTGTTGTACTTGTCTTTCAGGATGTCAGCTATTCAGACAAAGGACCGCATGGCTCTCTAGGCCTTGTGCGCTTTGCAGGCGCTGTGTGGGCAGACACAATGACAATAACAGCACTGCTACCACACCGAAGCTCACTTCGGCTCCTAAGAGCTGCAGTGCAGTGCTTCCTCTGAGCCAAGCCATACAAGACTAAACCGCAGCGCCTAGCGCCAGCACAAGGAAGGGATGCTGCGAATAACCAGCTGCAGCCACCCCCGAGGAGCTGCCCCAGAGGTTGCAGGCCCATCTCAGTGCTCCCAGCACTGTGGGGCAAGCCGAGGGGCTGAGGCCTTCACCGAGGGGCAGGCGCTGTGCGGCACCAGGCTGGTTGTCGACCCGGTGCCACAGACCTGATGGCTGGCTGGGGGGTTGAGTTTACAGCGTCTCTATTACGTCAATGAGCGTTTCCGTGACGCCATCGCCTATTTCGATGACGTCGCCATTCGCTCACGGCGGCGGCAGGGGACCAGCACCCCACGCGTCTAACGCCTTCCCTGCCCCCAGCCGCGCGGGGCCCCTGGGTACTGTAGTCCAGCCGCAGGACTACAGTACCCAGGGGGCCCCGCGCCACGCCCCCTCTGCCGGCGCCGCAGTAACGCCGGGTCCCGCTCCCGTCCCCCTCCTCCGCCCGAACAACATGGCGGGGCTGGGCAGCGGGGAGCGCTGGGCCGAAGGTAGCGAGCGCCGCGGCACTTGGCAGCGGCTGAGGGAGCTCGGGGGGCTAGGCAGGGAGGGGGCATTGTGGGGGCTGGGCAGGGAAAGCAGTGGGGAGGGGCTGGGCAAGGAGCGGGGAGGTGGCACTGTGGGGGCTGGGCAGGGATTGGGGAGGGGAAGGGGGTTGGTAGGGAGTGCGGAGGGGAGGGGGCATTGTGGGGGCTGGGCAGGGAAAGGAGTGGGGAGGGGAGGGTGCTGGGCAGGGAGGGGGGATGAGGTTACTGTGGGAGTTGAGGAAGGGCCTTGGGCTTGAAGTTGCATTACATTTTTCTCTGCATACCGTTTTGTGCAATCTAGCCCTGAAGCTGTAGTTTCCAGTCCATGCATCATTTATATTATTCTGCACTATTATTATGTGCAATTTGTATTTGGTTCTTGCTTTGTTGATATAACTGGTGAACTTTCTCCTTTGTTTTCTCTGTTACTTGCTTTGTGTAATGTGTTTCTCAGATACAGCACACACACAAAAAAGACCCCCATTAAAGATAATACATGGATAATGCTGTGATGAAAGATGAATTTTTCTTTCATGGATTTTTGTATGTGAAAAGATGTTTCCATTAGAATGAATATTGAGATTATTTATGCAGGATATTATCACAACACCAATTTAACCTTGAATTCCTTTATTAAATACAAAGGCTGACTGATAGTTATACAGTTTCTCTAAACATGCCTAAATAATAAGCAATGTACTACTCCAAACAGTAACAAAACATTTATAAGCATTTGATCAAGATAGTTACAAATGGGCTAAACCCAGGGATGCTTAGACCCATACTGGGCCACTCCAATGTGGTCAGGCAGGTATTAGCAATGAACCCTTTAAGAGCTTCCTTTTTTTTTTATACTCTTTAACAAACAAGTGATGTCCTTGCCAATTGCTGACTTCAGTGAAAAATTGATTTGAGGCAGTTCTCCCTTATTTGAAGTCTTAATCCAGATAAAGTTTCCAACCTCCTTTTTTCTGAAGGCCTTTCCTCCATGCCTCTCTCCCTCCTCCTAGCTGACTAGCAGTTTTTCCTTTGCATCTGAGTTCATGTAGGCCCCAATTTTTGAGAACACTGATAAATGGGGTGAGAAGGTCCATGTTGGTTATTTTAAAGACAGTTTCTTTGTCTTATTTAAAACCATCTACAGTCACCACTATTGATCAGAGGCCTTTTTAGGAACTTTCCCTTATTTCATTCTTTGAACGAGGCATCCTCCCTCCTTCATTCCTGCTGGCCTTATAGCTTGTTACTTTCAAGATCTTTCTTTTACTTGCTAGTTAGGGCCTTTCTTTACAACACATTTCTTTAACCAGATTTATGCTAACTTTAATTCTCTAATTTTATGTTTATTGTACAGTGAAACATGCAATGATATGTCACTGCATTTTTGGTAATACATTCATAACAGGAACATGTTGCTTTGCAGCCTTAATTGACGCGATCAGAAGGAATGCATGCCCAACAGAGGAAAACAGTGAGAGTTCTGACTTCTGTGCTTGCAGTGACTGTATGAGAGGGAAGAAGGAGAAGTGCAACAATGAGAGGGGTCAAGCAGGCTCTGGAGAAGCTAGTATGACTTACACAGAGGAGCAGTTATATGGGGTACAAAGGTGAACAAACTATTTTCAGTAAACCCTACATTAAATTGTATTGGCAGAGGGAAAAGTCTCACGTTCGTGATCTTTTAGTAACCAAATGTCAACTGCAAAGCTGCTGTAGTCCTGAGCAGCTAATGTGCACTTGTGGTCTGACTGAATGGTGTTTATGGCGGTTGTGGGTGCTCTGCACCTTTTGAAAATTGGGCCCTTTTATTATAAGTATCTCTGAGTGGTGAAATCTGCAGTATCAACTATATTCTGAACTTTAATTTAAACTTCCTTGAGGTGTTATGGGTTTAAGTCACAAATAATGAACAGTTATATCTATTATGAATATCTGTATTTAGTATCTAGTCAGTTTAAACTATGGAGCCATCATAATCATAGGAGGAATATGCATAATAATAGGTGATTAACAAAAGTTGCTGTATATGAAAAGAATGTCAGTCACTGTGCCTTCCTAAATTTAAATGTGAATGTTTACTAAAAATACTGCAACCAATTTATCCATATTGTAATCTAAAAAGTTAGCAAAAGATCATTTAAAAACAGCTGTTTTTTTAAAGTTACAGGAGCACAAACATTTCCTTTTTAGATTACTAGGTTTTAAACTTTAAAAGGTAGAACCATTTTTAATTAATTTTTTGTGTCGAGGAGACCTAGCTCTAGCTAAGACTTGAAATTCTAAGTTTCAGCCTAAACTTACTTTTCCAGCTGAAACAGACTCCCTGAAAAGAAGGATTTGATGAAAATAAGCATAACTGTGTGTTCAAATTTAGGCCTTGTTCCTACAGGGACCTCTGCATGGGCAAGACCCCTGTTTCTGTTGACTTCAGTGGGGCACTGTGTGGATGTGTGTGTCCACTGTGTGCAATGATTCACAGGACTGGGGCCCTGCTCATGAAAATGAGGCATGGCTGAGGCAAAGGATAGTATAGTCGAGTATTGTTCACCCTCCTGCATTGTCAGTGCATCTCAGTTTTAGCCCTTCTAGCCCTGAGCTGCTTGAGTAGAGACTGAGGAAGGATGGCTCAGTGGTTAGAGCACTAGTCTGGGTTGTGGGAGACCTGGGTTCAGGTCCTGCTCTGCCATGAACATCCCGTGTAACACGGGGCCAAGTCACTTAGTCTCTCTGTGCCTCAGTTCTCAATCTGTAAAATGGAAATAATAGTGCTTCCCTACCTCACAGAGGTAGTGTGAGCATAAGTGCATTAAAGATTATGAGGTGCTCAGGTACAACATGGATGGGGGCTATATAAGTATCTGAGATAGGCAGACAAACATTGTGGTTTGCACAAATAGAGATGACAATGGGGGACCCATCAAGCTCCTTTTCACTTGTTGATCAATGTCAGGATTTTAAATGTTGTCTTCTCAGGTGAAAGTAATTTAAATAAGCTCTTCTACTGCAAATGATACATGTGCCTGGTTTGCTATTCTATATGAAATGAACCTGGTGCTGTCCAGTTCCTGCTGGCCAGATGTTCAGGTTCCGAAGTTATGTGCATGGTACAAACGGGCACACTAATGGCTTTCTTACCAGGGCAGGCAAGAGATGGATGAACATGGAGACCAAATTACACACCAGCTCTTTAGATCTCCTCCTTTCAGTTGAGGGTTGAGCTGGATTGGTGGGGAAGCTTGTGTTACCTCTGCCTTTGTTGTAACTGCTTTGTGGCTAAACAGATGACTTCAGTTTCTAGGATGCACAACCTGGCACCTTTCTTCAGCACTTACATTTTTACTAAGTGAATTTTAAGTGATACACATGACCCCATCCCTGAGACAGAACTCTGATTCCTCATGCTTCTTAGCAACATACAGTCTCTCTCTGCTGCTGCTTTTTTCTCACCTATGTTAAGTGCTGTCTATTTGGTTCCTTGTAAAATTTTCTCTCAACTGTATTGTAGGAAGAGGCATGCAGATAATAATAATAAAAAAAAAAATTGTCTCTTTTCAGAATAAAGAAGTGTAGCAATTATTATGAAATTTTGGGAGTTGAGAGAGATGCCAATGAGGAGGATTTGAAGAAAGCTTATCGAAAACTGGCCCTTAAATTTCACCCTGACAAGAACTGTGCTCCTGGAGCAACAGACGCTTTTAAAGGTATGTGAGATGAAGTGGGGTTTATTTTAAAAAGAATTTTCCAGCAAGGCTTGCTTCAGTCTATGGCAATGCACCCTGGCTGAAGACTTCATAGAAACACAGGCAGCTTATAATTTTCATAGGCGATGGTAGGATGCATACAGTTTTCTTCATAAAATCCCACAGCTGCCTGACAAAGAGTTGTCTTTGTTAGGAGGAGTTTCAAAGTACAGACCTCTGTGAGAAGCAGGATAGTAGTAAAATGAAAAGGCATCCTAAATCCCTTTGAAGTTTCACAGTGGTGTTTAAGCAGTATTGTTTGTAACAATAGCCCTCGTCCATTTGATCAACAGTTTCCCTGGTTGTCTAATCACCTATTGTTCTGTATGTGGCCATGGAGGGGATGGACAAGTCCTGTTCCTCCCCAGCCTGGCAGAGACTTGCAGCGAGGAGCCCCCCAGCAGGGGTGCTCCCAGAGCAGCATGGGGAGATCAGATTTCACGGGGAAGGGCTTATTTTACTATCTATGACATGTTTTTCACGGCTGTGAAATTGGTAGGGCCCTAATTATGAGTTAAAAATCATGAAAACATTGAAAGTTTTTGAGTGTATTATTCTGATTCTCTGAATTTTATACAAAGATTATAAAAACAACAAGGAGTCTGGTGGTACCTTAAAGACTAACAGATTTATTTGGGCATAAGCTTTCGTCATGACTCTATGCATCTGAAGAAGTGAGGTTTTTACCCACGAAAGCTTATGCCCAAATAAATCTGTTAGTCTTTAAGGTGCCACCAGACTCCTTGTTGTTTTTGTAGATACAGACTAACACGGCTACCCCCTGATATTTGATACTAAGATTATATTATCTATATCAACAATCTCAGTATCTAAAGACTTAAATTAAATCTGTTATACGTTCTCTTTTTTATCTTCAAACTATGGCCAGGACTATCTTAACACAGAGCAAAGCCTTGCTTTCAGTTAGCCAGTATTAAGATAGAGAAGTACGGTCTCGCATGATATTCTTATCGACAAACTAGGCAAATACAATTTAGATGGGGCTACTATAAGGTGGGTGCATAACTGGCTGGATAACCGTACTCAGAGAGTTGTTATTAATGGTTCCCAATCCTGCTGGAAAGGCATAACGAGTAGGGTTCCGCAGGGGTCTGTTTTGGGACCGGCTCTGTTCAATATCTTCATTAACGACTTAGATATTGGCATAGAAAGTACGATTATTAAGTTTGCGGATGATACCAAACTGGGAGGGATTGCAACTGCTTTGGAGGACAGGGTCATAATTCAAAATGATCTGGACAAATTGGAGAAATGGTCTGAGTTAAACAGGATGAAGTTTAACAAAGACAAATGCAAAGTGCTCCACTTAGGAAGAAAAAATCAGTTTCACACATACAGAATGGGAAGAGACTGTCTAGGAAGGAGTACGGCAGAAAGGGATCTAGGGGTTATAGTGGACCACAAGCTAAATATGAGTCAACAGTGTGATGCTGTTGCAAAAAAAGCAAACATGATTCTGGGATGTATTAACAGGTGTGTTGTGAGCAAGACACGAGAAGTCATTCTTCCGCTCTACTCTGCTCTGGTTAGGCCTCAGCTGGAGTATTGTGTCCAGTTCTGGGCACCGCATTTCAAGAAAGATGTGGAGAAATTGGAAAGGGTCCAGAGAAGAGCAACAAGAATGATTAAAGGTCTTGAGAACATGACCTATGAAGGAAGGCTGAAAGAATTGGGTTTGTTTAGTTTGGAAAAGAGAAGACTGAGAGGGGACATGATAGCAGTTTTCAGGTATCTAAAAGGGTGTCACAAGGAGGAGGGAGAAAACTTGTTCACCTTAGCCTCTGAGGATAGAACAAGAAGCAATGGGCTTAAACTGCAGCAAGGGAGGTCTAGGTTGGACATTAGGAAAAAGTTCCTAACTGTCAGGGTGGTTAAACACTGGAATAAATTGCCTAGGGAGGTTGTGGAATCTCCATCTCTGGAGATATTTAAGAGTAGGTTAGATAAATGTCTATCAGGGATGGTCTAGACAGTATTTGGTCCTGCCATGCGGGCAGGGGACTGGACTCGATGACCTCTCGAGGTCCCTTCCAGTCCTAGAATCTATGAATCTAAGACATGAAGTTGCAAAGTTGTTGGGGTTTTTTTGGGCTGGGGGTTGGTTTTCAGTGTAAATTTGCCTATGAAAAATGTATTTCAAATAGCATTAAGGTGGTACAAAAGTTCTAAATTTTAAAATCAAACTTCAATGTTCTTTACTTGCATTAATATTTAGATACCTTGAACATTAGGAAAAAGTATATGAACACAACTTTCCAAGAAAAAGTTATTGCAGACTTGAGTTTGTTGCTGCAGCTATTTGACCTTCAGAAATTAATAGCTAAAGATGTTGGTGTGTTCTGGGAGACATGGTGGCTTGGTAATAAAATATGGGGTCTTTCATCTTTGGGGCACTAGTTTAGAGCCAGCTCAGGTGGCTAGTGATGAGGTCATTGTCAGCTGACTAGCTGTATGGTGGCCAATGTGAAACAATTCTCATATTTCAGGTCCTGGTAGACACCTAAGTGTATCAGTTTGTACCTTTATTTTCAGTCTCAGTGAAGTGGTTACAGATTGAATAGAAATGGCCATGGACATCAAACTGGTCTATTGGTGGCTCTTTCAGGTCAGAGTTGAGACGTGTAGAGGAGAGGGGAAACTGCCAGTGATGTACTTATTCTATGAAGAGAGGCTTTCATTCTCCACGGCTATCTCAGTGCTAAACATAGTACGGCTAGTGGATTGCCTTTGGCATTAAAAAGCAAATTGGACAATTTTGAAAGCTACCACTTATTAATATAAAGGCAATTATTGTAAATTCCTTGATCCTTATTTGAGAATTTGTTTCCCAAATGTTGTGATCGAGCCCTATTCTTGATAGTCTCTCAGGTGACTGGTGGAACTCCCCTAGCTCAAAACTGTGCCTTTGAATGGGGTTGCCAGCAAGTGGCCATTTGTAAGATAATGGCCATCCCTCACCTTACCCTCCGTTCCTTTCTTTCCTCTGGTGCATGAGATCACTCTAACCCTGCTGCCATTCTCACTTAGCCCTCTGTGGTATGCTGTACTCGCAATTGCACTTGTTTAACTAAGGCCTTGTCTTCACTAGGAAAAAAAATATATTTTTAACCCATGCTAAGCTAACCTGTGTTACAAGTCTAGTGAAGACAAGGCAGTTGTAACCTTTCAGCTGATTGAGGTAAATCCTAGAGGAGCATAGTGTTTATCTTGTCCAACTCGTAGGAATGTAACACAAGTTAACTTAACACAAAGTTAAAAGTACACATCCTACAGGAAGGATGCAATGTCATGTAATTAACCATATGGTGTGTGGACACACACTCTGTCTAAAGCCTACCATGTCACTAACTGGTTTCGGACTTGGTAAAAAGCTGTATTGTCACTCAGCCCTTTAACAGATTTCCAGAATAGTCTCTTCCCCAGTTTTCTGAGTATTTTCAACCCTTCAGTATGCTACAGGAGATGTTTTAACTTCCTGCTTCTATCCAAGATGAGTGAGCAGCTTTCATCAGTGCTAATACCAGTATCCATAAGAATAACTGAAAGGAGCACTCACTTTGCTTTACGAATAACACCTCCAATGGACATCGAGTCTCTCTGTCCAGATGGTTGTGTGTTACACTTTGTCCAACAGAAAATGTGCCTTTATCAACTTGTTGCTACTCATCTTATAAAATTCAGCTTATGAAAGGCATATTGACTCGAAAAGATTGCATGAAGTAAATGTGTAATATTGCTCTCTCTTGTTCTGCAGCAATAGGCAATGCTTTTGCCATTCTGAGCAACCCTGAAAAACGATTACGATATGATCAATTTGGGGATGAGCAAGAGACTTTCAGCACTCCCCGGGCTAGGAATTATGATTATTACAGGGAATTTGAAGCAGACATCACACCAGAAGAAATATTCAACATGTTTTTTGGTGGGCACTTCCCTACAGGTCAGTGTTCTGTCTATAGTGTCTTTGAAGTGTAAAGAGTTGGAAAGTTAGCTTTATTTGATACTGCTCAAGAACCTAAGGCCATGTCTACACTACACAGCTAACTCAACATAGACAGCTTACATCAACCTTACTGTGGAGGTTTATGCACTGCAATGTTCCTCCCGCTGATTTAACTCTCTTGCTACGCTGACATCATAAAACCATCTCGACATTAGCTTCACAAATGTTATGCAGAGCACAGCAGGCTGCTATGACCATGGCAATTTTTCTTCATTCGGGTCTAACCTGCCAAAAAAGCAGCGCCAACGACCCTTTAATCGGCCAAATGCACATTCAACAGTCATTCTACACCTGCTGAACCTGTTGTTGAAGTGCTTCTTGCTGCAGTCAAGGTTTCTGGTGTATGGCTTCATAAGTCATGGGAGCAAGGGGTTGGCTGGGTCTCCAAGGATCACTATTGGCATTTCCACATCCCCAGTTAGAATCTTCTGGTCTGGAAAGAAACTCCCTGCTTGCAGCTTTCTGTACAGGCCAGTGTTCCTGAAGATAAATGCATCATGCACCTTCCCTGACCACCATGCGTTGATGTTGGTGAAATGATCCATCACAGTATGCAGTACCATAGAAAAGTAGCTCTTTCTGTTGTTGTACTCCATTGCAAGGTGGTCTGGGGCCAAAATGGGGATATGCATGCCATCTATCACCCTGCCGCAGTTAGGGAATCCATTGCCACAAAGCCATCCACTATTTCCCGCACGTTGCCAAGAGTCACAGACAGTTGTAGCAGGAGGCGATTAATGGCCCTGCACACTTGTATCGCTACAACCCCCCTGGTGGACTTCTGTTTCGCAACTGATTGGTAGCAGTGTGGAGTTGCCAGCTTCCACACAGCAATCACCACTCGCTTCTCCACTGTTAGGGCAGCTCTCATTTTGGTGGTCTCGTGCCAGAGGGCAGGGGCGAGCTCCGCACACAGTTCCAGGAAAGTGGCTTTACGCATCCGAAAGTTCTGCAGCCACTGCTCATCATCCCATACCTGCATAACGATGCAATCCCACCACTCAGTGCTTATTTCCTATGCCCAGAACTGACGGTCCACTGTGTGCAGCTGCTCTGTGAATGCCAACATCAATCTTGAATTGTTTCTTTCCATGGCACACAGCAGGGCAGACACCACGGTGTGATCAGATTCGCAGCTCATGAAATACTGCAGTATCAGCCATGTTGTGTTCATAATGCTCATCACAATACTGGAGAGCAGTCCAGGATCCATGCTTTCAGACAGAGATGATGGGCAGGAAGTTTACAGGGGCTGTTGAAAAGTGGTGCAAAACGTAGTAGGAAGCCCATAGAATGATGGGACGGAGAAAACTGCACCATGGGCCACTGAGTCCAGCCCCATGATGCACTGCGATCCCTTCCCAGAACACGTGGCGGCAGATGGTGAGTTGCACAGTGGGATAACTACCCACAGTGCACTGCTCTCTCTGTCAATGCAAGAGCACTAACTGGACGTCACAAGGAGCATTATGTGGATGTGCAAAAGCGGTTTAATTACAGTGGTGGATGATTGTCAACATAACTTAAGTCGACTTAACTTTGTAGTGTAGACATAACCTAACTGTACTTTTCAGAATAGTAAAACCCAATAATGAAAGTGCCAGTTGCTGTTACTCTTTTCTCACTTCTTCCTTTATATGTCTAGCAAAACTCCTGAGATGCGCTATTTTAAATTGAGTTTGTTGACTTCAGATTTTCAGAATGCGAAAACCTACCCTAACCTTGCTTTCTTCACATGTGTTGCTACAACAGCATTCCCACATGGTTCAGTGAACCGTTCATGCTGTTGCTGCTCTGGGGTGGCCAGCCAGCACACTCCCAACCCCTGCCTGTGTCTTCTTGCCTCTTCCGAGAGTTTCTAATAAGCGCTGAGCTCCAGGGTTGAGAACCACTAACGCAGCAAGGGCTGAGGCAGGTTGAATTCCTTGTGGGCTACGTTTTTAACTCCAGCTGTAGTTGGCAAAACTGCCTCTTCTCTCTCCCCATTGCCTGAAGCCAGAAATGGTTTGGAGGTAGGGAGACGGTGTTTATCTCCAGGGATCAGGAGTGTGCTTGCCAACCACATCAACTGTAGTGCTGCTGTCATAGACAGCTCACTGAGGCATTTTCTACACTGGCAAGTTTCTGCGCAGTAAAGCAGCTTTCTGCGGTGTAACTTCCGAGGTTTACACACTGCCAAGTCACTTAGTGTGCAGAAACTGCGCAGTTGCAGCGCTGTAAAAAAACCCACCCTGACGAGAGGCGTACAGCTTTCTGCATTGTGGCTACAGCTCCATGGTGCCAGTGTAGACACCCTGGTCGATTACAGTGCTGCAGCTAGCTTCCAGGAGGTGTCCCACAATGCCTGTTTTCGCCTCTCTGGTCATCGGTTTGAACTGTACTGCCCTGCCCTCAGGTGACCAACCGTGAGCCCCACCCCTTAAATTCCTTGGGAATTTTGAAATTCCCCTTCCTGTTTGCTCGGTGATGCATACAATGGTCTCAGCTCATCTTTCCAGGTGACCATGCCTGCTCCACGCACCAGGCGATCCCCCGCTTGGAGCAGTGCTGAGCTGCTGGACCTCATGAGCATTTGGGGAGAGGAGGCTGTCCAGTCCCAGCTGCACTGCAGCTGTAGGAATTACGATACCTACAGTCAGATTTCATGACAGAAAGGGGCCGTGACCGGGACACACTCTAGGGCAGGTCAAAGTGAAGGAGCTGCAGAGCACCTACTACAAGGCGTGGGAGGCAAACCACTGCTCTGGTGCTGCGCCCACGAGCTGCCAGTTCTACAAAGAGCTGGATGCAATACTCGATGGCAACCCCACCTCCACTGTGAAGGCCTCTGTGGATACTTCGGTGGCTCATGTGCCAGTCAAAAGTGCACCGAGCCAAGAGGAGGAAATCTTGGACAAGGATGTGGGGGGGGAGACCCAGAGGCAGAGGATGACTCGGAGGCCAGAGATGCTTGCAGCCAGGAGCTCTTTTCTACCCCGAAGGAGGCTAACCAGTCACAGCTGTCGGAGATTGGCAAAGCGCAAACAGAAGAGGAAGCCCCTGGTAAGTGGCTTTGATTTGGGGAATCGCTGAAGCGAGTTGTTGTGAGCAGGAGGGTTGCAGAAAGCAGGTGTGTGTCTGTGTGATGTGCATACCACCACATGCCTAGTCTAAGTAATGGAACAGGGTGTTGATTGACTCCCTCACTTCACGGGAATCTGCCTCAGAGATCTCCAGGAAACGCTCATGGAGATACTGGGCAATCCGCTGCCGCAGGTTCTTTGGCAGAGCTGCTTTGTTTCTTGCCCCATTAAGGGTACCTTTCCCACGCCACTCTGCCGTCACTGGGGAGGATCATTGCTGCACACAGGCGAGCTGCATAAGGGCCAGGGCGGAAGCCACAGTCTTGGAGAAGACCCTCCTTTGATTCCCTGCTCGCCCTCAGCAGCGAGATATCTTCCATAATGAACACAGCCTGTGGAAAATGGGGGGACAGTAATGATTGTAAGGTCCCCCCTACAGTGCTGGCTCTCCCCAAGAGCCACATGCCCAGTATACAGCACGGTCCTGGAACACTGATTTCCCCTACCCCTGAGGTTACTCACCATTTTGGGGGTCTTGTGTCTCGTGTGCTTGCCTGACGTCAGCCAGTTAGTGACAGGTATGTGAATAGTGGTTGTGTTTTAAGTCGCTGAATCAGTGGTCTGTGTGTTGCAAACAATACTGCTTTCTGTAAAATGTTACATTTTGGCTTCACAGATATGACCTTGGGAGCCCAGCCTCCCTCTTTGTTATCGTCAGCTGAACGGCTGCGCAGAATTAGGAAGTGGCCTCAAAGAACTAAAGAGGATTTTCTGTGTGATGTCATGATGCACTCCGCGGCTGAAAAACAAGTATTGAAGGAGTGGTGGGACAGCGAGAAGGGGGACTGAAAGGAGAATGTGGCGCGCCAGAACGAAGCCATGAAGCGGCTCTTAAAGGTTATGGAGCATCTAGGTGGTCTGGTGCCAGCATTGGAATGTGCGTGCCATCTATTGCCCCTCTGCAGTTAGGGAAGCCCATTTGTGCAAAGCCATCCACAATGTCACGCACGTTGCCCGGAATCATGGTCTTTTGGAGCAGGATACGATTAATGGCCCTGCACACTTCTGTCAACACCAGTCTAATGGCCAACTTTCCCACTCCGAACTGGTTAGCGAACGATCGGTAACAGTCTGGAGTAGCCAGCTTCCACAGTGCAATTGCCACACACTTCTCCAACGGCAGGGCAGCTCTCATTCTCATGGCCTTGCGCCGCAGGGCTGGGGCGAGCTCATCACACAGTCCCAAGAATGTGGCTTTCCTCATCCAAAAGTTCTGCAGCCACTGCTCATCATCCCAGACGTGCATTGATGATGTGATCCAACCACTCAGTGCTTGTTTCCCGAGCCCAAAATCAACGTTCTGCTGTAGTCAGCACCTCTGTGAATGCCACGAACAATCTCGTGTCATAGCTGGTACGCATGGAGAGATCAATATTGAACTCCTCTTGCCTTTGTAGTTTAAGGAATAACTCCACTCCACTCGTGATGTTTTAGTGAGAGCAAGCAGCATATTGGTCAACAGTATGAGATCCATTCCTGCGTGCAGTACACAAACCATTGAAAGATGGTGCCAAATGCAGGCAGAAGCACAGGGATTGCTGGTATGTGAAGCAATGCATTACGGGGCATTGGGACAGGACCCAGGATGCCCCATGACCCCCTCCGCCTTCCCACAACTCCTAGCGGCAGAAGAGGAAGAGATGCTCTGTGGGATAGCTGCTCAGAGTGCACTGCTCCAAATACCGATGCAAGTGCCACAAGTGTGAACATGCTTTTGCGCAGGCAGCTGACTGTGTGAACACACAACAGCGGTTTCCCTTCAGCGCTCTCTGTGCGGCGATGTAACTGCCGGCACTGTAACTCTGCCAGTGTAGCGATACCCTGAGTATATGCAGATGTGCCATGACAGCTGCTGTGATATACTGCATGACCAGCCGTGATGTGTTCATAACAGTGACCACAACAGTAGAAAGCAGTGCAGGCTCTGGGTGCACAGTAAACAGGGGCCATTGAAAAACACCACAAAACACAGTTGGAAGCCCATGGAATGGTGGGACGGGAAAAAATGAGTCGGGACATTGAGCCCACACCCAGGATGCACTGCGATCCACTCCGCCATTCCACAACTCCTAGCTGCAGAAGATAGCGAGTAGCATAGTAGGATAGTTACCCATAGAGCACTGCTATCACTTTTGATGCTAAAGCACCAACTATGGATGTGCTCCACCAACAAAAGGAGCATTGTGTGAACATGCACAAGCGATGTAATTATACCAGTTTTTGATCATTGGCGTAACTTGCATAAAAAAAAACTCTGTAGTGTAAACAAGGCCTAAGTGAGGGTGTTGCAGATTTTGTGGCAAAGAAAAATAAGGGAGAACAGGGATTTTCATTACAACTCCCTATTAAAACTAAATAGCTATGACTTTAGAACACTTTTTCCTTCCTATTTGCTATACGACTAAACATCTTCCTTGCAATTCTTTTGCAAAGCAGAAATGGTGTATGCTTTGCCTACTTCCAAGCTTAAACAAAGCTTAAAACTGTTTTGATATTAAAACCAAATCATAACTTCCTCCAAAAAAACTTTTGAGATGAACTTTCTATACTTTTTCCTAGCTCAAAGGTTATTTTTCTCTTTAATTGAGGAAAATCAATTCAATTGTTTTGGTGCACATGAACAAATCCCATATGCACCAAAACAGTTGTAAGCTGCAGCATAGGCTTTTGGGGAATTGGAGTTGAAAACCTTTGGAGATGAGCAAAACTACAGCTCCACACCTAACTTTTTCTTATGCTGATAGGGTATTCTGCGTGACGGTCCTGAGATCCTGGAACTTGCTCCCTCCACTTTGTCTGAAATATTATGAACTTGATGACCTGTGCATGCTACAAAAGCCACTTATTTAATCGGGTTTTGGAGAGATGGAAGATATGGACCCAGAGGCATTAGGGGGTGGAAAGGAACATTTCTGTTCCTTTCCATTTGCTGGCCAACTGAGCCCTGGTCTATACTTAAAAATTTAGATCAACCCCAGAATGCCGTAGTTAAGCTGACCATACTTCCAGCGTGATGCGGCGAGGTTGACGAAAGAATTCTTCTGTCAACCTAGCTGCTGCTGCCTCAGGGAGGCAGATTACCACCACTGACAGAAAGACCACTTCTGCTGATGTAGGAAGTGTCTGCGCTACGGTGCTACCGTGGCATAGCTGTAGCACTGCAACTGTGCCGCTGTAGTGCCCAGAGTGTAGACATGCCCTGAGTTAATTTGTTACTGTTTGTTTAATGCTGCAAGTAGGCTGAGTTTATGGTACCAATGGGATGTTTTTTAATGCTGCTGGATGATCATTATGGTGTTGCAAGTAATTGGCCTCAAGCTTTGTGTATGGGCATTTTGATATTTAGACTTTAATAAATGAAAGTCAAGAATTTATTTTAAGTTCAGTTTCTTGTAACAATGTTATCCTGCCCATGTTTGTAAAGTGCTTTGAGAACCTTGGATAAAGGATGTTATAGAAGTGTAAAGTTATATTAATTTCATGCAGGCTTAAAGATGGAGTCGTATTTCTGTGATCCTGATTAGGACAAACATTTTTAATTTGGAGCCTCTACTACAAAAGAGTCCTGAATTAAAAAGGAAAGAGCATAGCTATTCCGGTGTTCATGTAATGTAAAATCCATAGCTTTAAAAATTGGTAGAGCTTTTTAACAGCATCATTCTGATCAAAGTAGCTTGTGCTTCTTTCTTCCTCCATCTTAGAAGTTCTAAAATAAATCAGCTATATACTGTGTCTCTCTTTAGCCTACAAGAAAAGGAAATCCTGAATTGTATTCTTTATCAAGAAGGTACTTCTCCTTGATCTCTTCTCTCATTACAAAATCCTTAATGAGGCAATAAAGAGCTCAAAGAAAGAGAACAGAAATGAGTACAGCAGGGCAAATTTAGTAATTAAGAGCAGCCTAATTTATGGACTGAATGATAAAGCCTGTTACTTATATTTAGAGCCTCAGGTTCCCACGCAAAATAGTCTCTCAAGAGGACATGTTAAAACTCATGTGACAGCAAGAGTTGCAGTATAAAAACCCCAATGGGTCTCTGTTTTGTTTTTTGTTTTTGTTTTTAGAAAATTAATTGAGATGGTTTTGCACCAAGTTTTGCTTTGCCTTTTGTTGTTGTTGTTTTTCTTAAACATTCCCTTTCTCTTGGCACACCAATGCCCCAACATGCTGCATGACGGCTAGCTCCCATGTGCTGTTTTGGAATTTCAATTCTGAGGTGTATTATTTGAAGTTTATAACCTGGCCTCTCATGACTATGCTTGGTAACTCAGGCCATTTACTGTAAGGTGGGATAGCCAGCTAGAATTTCTGAGGAATAATAGATGCCTGCAATTGAATGAAAATGGCTAGTTCACCTCTTTGGGGTTTTTTAATACAGGAAATATTCATATGTTTTCAAATGTAACACCAGACGCCCACTATTATCGGCGGCGACACCGAAATGAGAGAGCCTGGACGCAGGACAAAGAGGAGGAAGAGAACAGGCCTCAGGTACTGTGGGAGGAAGCTGTTAGCTTTAAATATTGATCATGGCTACAGTGGGCGCATTTCAAGTTCATATGGGTTTCAGTAGTGTTCCCTATACAGTAGAACCTCAGAGTTACGAACACCAGAGTTACAAACTGACCAGTCAACCACACACCTCATTTGGAACCAGAAATATGCAACCAGGCAGCAGCAGAAACAAACAAACAAAAAAACAATACAGTACACTACTGTGTTAAATGTAAACTACCAAAAAAAAAAAACCAAAGAAAAGTTAAAAAAAAAAATTTGACAAGGTGAGGAAACTGTGCTTGTTTAATTTAAATTAAGATGGTTAAAAGCAGCATATTTCTTCTGCATAGTGAAGTTTCAAAGCTGTATTAAGTCAATGTTCAGTTATAAACTTTTGAAAGAACAACCATAATGTTTTGTTCATAGTTATGAACATTTCAGAGTTACAAACAACCCGTTCCTGAGGTGTTTGTAACTCAGGTTCTACAGTTCTTAAAATGGGGAATGCCTCTAGAACCAGTAATATTTTTACAATCAGAATGGACTTTTTATGTGGGACCACTGTACTTGTCTCTTTATTTGCTACTTCCAAAATGTATCTTATTGTGGGGGGGACTCAGAAAAGAGCTATGGTCTTTCATCAGTTGAAATGGATCAGTAGTGGCTGAAAATCATTACCATCCAGTGTCAGTTGTGTAGCCTAATGGGAAATATGTTTGTGGTGTGGACAGACAAGTGTTCATATCACATACGGTTGCAGTGAACATTCTTGTTGGTAATCTTGATACAGACACCAAGGACTGAATAGCTACAGACTGCTTTCTGCGCTTCCCCTTAAAAGCCAAAGTTGAGGCAGGTGGGCAGGACAGTGTAAAAAGAAACTTACGCTGTTACTGTCCGGGCTGTTAGTTTTATGGAGTAACAGAAGACTTTTGTCCCTAGAGCCATCACTGTTTCACTTGCACTAAATTCACTTACTTTGAAAAACATATTCAAACAAATAAAAGAAAATACACATATCTAATTCCAAATTGCACTATGTATTGTTTATTAACCTGTAACATTCTTAAGAGTTTCAGTCCTTGGGTAGAAAATAAATAATGTTGTGGATTTGAGAAAAAAACATTGTAAATTTTAGAAACTACAGGGAACCTGTAGATGTAAACTGTATCCAAGCAGGGTGTTCCTTGACCTGCATTGCCTCCTGGCAGCACAGTGTGCACATACTTTTTGAGGAGATAGTTATTTGACTTAAAAATGGAATTGTGCATTAAGGAAACTTTGCGAAAATTTGATTTGGAGAAAACTTATTTATTTATTTATTTGAAATTTAAGTTATTAAAGTATTTTTCTAATAAAGGTAATTTTGAAATTTAACTAGTTTGAAATTTAAATGTCACGCTTCTTCTGCTAACTCAAGGGTAGTCTCTGTTCTTGTCTGTTTAACATCTGATGCGTTGTCTGCCTAGAGACCGCTCCTGCCTTTTATGAGCTAGTAGGTCTTATTCCCATCTCTAACTTTTATCATCCACTAACTATGGTTGTCCATTTCAGAATACGTACTCTGCATTTATTCAGTTGCTGCCGGTTTTGGTGATCATAGTTTTGTCAGTTATAACTCAGCTGATGGCCACTAATCCACCGTACAGCCTGTTCTACAAATCGTAAGTCCAATTTTTAAAAAACTGTTTATCTGGTCTAGGTTACTTGGAGTGGGGAGGTAGAGGGATGTTGGACTTAATAGAGAATTCACTAACTTTTCCCATCCGGTCTCTGCAGAAAGCATTATCACGTTGTAATTAAGGGACTTTTCAGTGAACTTCTGGGGGTTTTGCTGCCTGCCTTTCCCAGCACTTGTTCCCCTGTACCCCTTCAGCAGGACAGATGCCTGGCAGCCAGGATGCTCAGCATGCAGGAAGGCGTCCACCCCACAGGCTATGCCAGCAGAAGGTGGCTCCTGCTCCAAGATACTGGCAAGCCTGGTGATCAGGAGCCCAGGAGGATGAGCTTTAGTCCATAGGCTCTCCCCAGAGCGCTGCAGAAGGACAATAATGCCAAGGGGGAGCCACTGTGGGAGGGCTTTGCTTTCTGCCTCTGCCTGCCCTCAGCTACATGCTTCCTTTATCTGCAGCTGGGGCTGAGGTGCTTCATGGGGGAAGGAGGAAATTGCCCCTCCTAAATAGCACCCTATTGGGGGTAGCATAATTGGAACTCGCTGATGTTGGGCTCGCATTCTGTCCTTTTTCATGGGGCGTTGTTTTTCAGGCTGTTCCAAAATTCTTATCACTGTTACCACAAGATGTCAGCCTGCATGTTTGGCAGACAGCAAGATACTCCCCCAGTGAGTCTTTTGAGTCGTGCCAATCCCAAGTGAAACACTCCCGGCTGCTCCCAGAATAGGCAGTCCCTCCTGCTGCCTCTGTGCCCTTTGATCCAAGAGAGTCACACTTCAGCCCTGCACATAGGCACATATGCTCTGCCTCTAAACCTTATCTTTAGGAATTAAACTCCATTGTTCTTAATGCAGAGAATAAAACCCTCAGACCTTGTGAGAGAGGAAGAAAAGAGGGTTTTTAATAAACCAAGAAGGAGGGGACAAACCGAACTGTGGAAGGAGGGAGAGGCATGTCAGATGGAGTGTGACCCTCCCTTCTTGGCTGCTTTCTCCTCATCCAAGGCAACAATTCTAAAGATGCAGAGAGAGGAGCCAAGAAGATTAGAAAGAAGAATGTGGTTTAAACCAGTGGAGAAGGCAGAGAGGCTAGCTCCGCACAGCTCCCCTGACTGCAGGGCAGTTTCAAAACATTAGAAAGAAGTGGAACCAGGATCATCCCTTATTCAGAATTCCACAGGATTCTATAATTTGCCCTGGGGTGCCTAAAAAATATTATGTGAGGCAGTGGAAATCTACGTGGAGTGGGCTATATGACTACAGTCACATTGCACCCTCAGATATTTGGCCCTGTGCCCTAAATGCACCCTGAAGACTGCTGTCCTTTCAAGTTTGTCCAGTCATTTCCCACTGATGTTGACAGGAGGCTGCTGGAAAGTGCAGGCAAACAAACAAAGCTGTGTTTGGGCCTTTTTATGTCTTGGAAGTGACTTGACCAAGTTACCAAGAACTCCCCAGAAAAATGCAGTCTCATTAACGCATACTGTACTTGAGTTTGGGCAGTATCAATTCTGAGGCTGCTCCCTTTAGATTCCATTTTTCATTTTAAATCTCTTTAGATATTGTGTCTTCATTGTGTTTTTCTAGCCAGTCATGTTTATTTTATCAGCTGTGTTAGGAAGGTGTAAGGTTGATTATGGAGCAGGGAGATGTGTAATTTCTTTAGCGAATGGTTGAGGGCGCTGTAGTTCTGCAATAGCTGCTGTGAAGAAGTTACAGGTATTTCCTGCTGGGAATATTAACATTCCTTGATATTTCTGAACTGCCTTAAAAACACACTTGTCTCTATGCTGTTTTCACAGGTCCATAGGCCATACCGTCCCTAGAGAAACACAAAACCTGCAGGTGCCTTATTATGTTGATAAAAACTTTGAAAATAGTTATAAAGGAACAGAACTTCAAGAGCTAGAGAAAACCGTTGAAAAGGATTATATAGACTATATCCAGACCAGCTGCTGGAAGGAGAAACAACAAAGTAAGTAATCTTCGTTATTTATAAGTGTGTAGGTACACATCACATAAAGTCAGAGCGTGGCTTTGCTTGAGAAGGTATTTCCATTATAAGCCCTAGGTTACGGGGATATATAACTTTCTAAACCATGAAGAACAGAGCTGCAGCCCATGTGGCATCCTCAGGGCCATACAGGTAGTATTTATATATATGGTGTGGATGCAGCCCACATAACACATAGAGAGCTGCATATGCGGCCCACAGTGGTAAATGTTTAGAACAGTGGTTCTCAGCCTAAATTAACTTTGCCCTGGCTTTTGTCACCTGGTGAATTTGTTGTTGAAAGCTTAACACAGTTCACTTTGGCTGATTTTAAGAGATGAGTTTGAAGTGTTTTTCACCAGTGGACTTTTTTTTTTTCCTTCAGGTGCTTTCTTTTACACTTGAATAACTCAGGGTAGCAATGTTTTAAAAATGAAATCCACCACATTTATTCATCTGATCTTTGACAGATCCAGAAAATTTTTGAAACTGGCATTCACATACCATGTTACTTTGTATCACATTTTAAAGAGACAGAGGCCAAAAGCATGTGCTTATTTGAATGTGCCACCTTTATTTGAGTCTGAGGTCATGTTTTTTACCACAGTCAAGAATTTATTTTACTTTAAGAAAATGCAATGCAAAAAGTGACAATAAAATGTTGAGACTTTAAAATGCACAAAAGTTAGGAAATTCAAAATTATTATTCTCACATCAACCTTAACTTGGTCACATGGCACATATATATTAAAGCATAAACTGTAACACCACATAGTATTTAAGCACTAATATCTGAATTGATGCTGCATAGAACAAAGATACAGTCCTTGTCCCTTTCTTACATTTTAACAAAATATACACATACAAGGGGACCAAGTTATATGGGGAATCACAAGTTTGAATTTCAAGAATTGAAATGACTAGACAAGTGCATAGTAAACTGAAAAAAGAAAAAAACATTTATCATCTTAAGTGTTTTAGTAATAGTAAGTAAACCACTTTCACATGGAAGTTTTTCTTTTTAAGTTGATAGTATCCCTATAAATCTCAACCTGAACATATTTTAACAAACTTTTTACTTTTGATTGATCTCCTGTTATGTCCAGCAATCAGGTCAATATGGCACAAACATTGTAGAGTGCATGCCTTGTCCAAACAATATTTGCTGTATCAACAAAGAGGCAACAACAGTGTTGCCAACTCTGGTAATCTTATCACAAGTTTCATAATATTTGGTGTTTTAAAAAGCCCCAGCTCCTGGATTCATGTGATTTATTTGAGAGACTCAGCTTTCCTTAAAATAAATAAATAAATAAATAAAATCTAGCCATTGTGACTGCAGAGAAAATCTTGAAGGCCCAAAAACCAGAAATCAAGTTAAAAGAACCCAAGATGCATGTAAGTTTGTTTTTTGTTTTTGTTTGTCAAATATCATGATTTTAAAGCTAATATCATGATTTTGAGAGGCCCAACTCATGATTTTTTGGGTACTTGTGGACATAGTACCAGCCTATAGATACAACATGGCTGTCTATGAACTTGAATACGATGATAATGGAGTCTCATGTCAATGTCTATGTACAAGAATTCAGCAAACACTGTAGGTGAACACGTATATGTGAGGCAGACCAATACAGGAACCGCAAACATGGTTACATATGAGACAGACAGGATTATCCTTGAACATTGCTTTTATTCCTTGCTTAGTGCTAGTCTTGTTTTTCACGTAAGGTATTAATGGGCCTTGCTTCAAAGCGTATAACAGTGACATGACAAATCTGCTGCCACTTGGCTTTATTGTGGGCTCTTCCTTCCCAGTTGCTCGGGTCAACTTGATATGCTTTCAACTTTGACTTCAGTGTGTCTTTAT